GCTGAGAGCAAACAACGCTATTGTTCGTTAGGAATCTATAGCATTTTCAGTAAATTAGTAATAATGCAAGGACAAAATGTATTGCAAGTCTAGTAGTTTTTATCTGGAAGGTATGTTAAAACACATTAGAATTTTTGCTTTCTGAGCGTATTAAAAAGTCAGATGGCATACATATTTTAATTTAAAACCCTACTACTTACATTACTGAGCGATGAAATGGTTACTTTGTTTAGTTCCTTGATGTTTGTTGCCATCTAGTGTGACATTTGGGTATCACATGCTAAGTAGAAGGAATTACATATTTAACATTCATAGTGGCAGTGAAAATGCCTAAGAAAATAAATACATAACTTGAGAAGTGTATAATGCCATGCATAGATTCTTGTGTGGAACTATCTTGGATAAACTCCCTACTCTTCCACTTTCTAGGTCTCTGCTTTGGGCAAGTTACTGAATATCTTGAAGTACCAGTTTCTTCAATTGAGTGATAAGAACCAATTAAAATGTATTTAGAGGGTTAAATAATCCATATATGCCACTTAGCAAAGTATCTGGCACATAGTAGGTGCTCAATAAATGTTTTTGTTTGAAAATGGAAGTTGTCTCAATTGGTGATAATTTTAAAAGAGGAAAAAAATTCACCTGGGACTAAATAGTGAGAAAAAGTAGAGGCTTTTGCAGTGACACGTTGATAAAGCTACAAGACACCTTGATAAAGCTACGATAAGCAGATAAAAAGGTTAACCATGCCTTAGGCCTGCCTGCTTGTGTTGGGAAGGGAAATTGTTGAGAGGTATGTGGAATGGCCTGAAGGTACAGGCTGTGGCATGAAGTTGCCATAAGCATATCTATAATGACATAACCCTCTAAGGAAAAAAAATTTTTTTTTCTTTTTTACTCATAACAACTTGAGCAAAGTATTTATTGCAAATTTGCTAAGACCTATCCTGCCACATACCTTCATGGGTAAGTGGTGTGAACTTTTTTAAAAAGTTAATTATTATGTATACATAACAATTGTACATATTTATGGGTTACATGTGATATTCTGAATATTAGTTTTTAAAACAGCAACCTGGTAGGTTGAACAAATATTTACAAAGACTTTTTTCCCCCTTTTGAAATATCCAAATTATTCTGTTTCTTGGATTACAGGGAGTCAGAAAGGCAGGAATTAGAAACCTGGATTAAAAATAAAATCAGAAAAGCACTGAGTTGTAGTCACAAGTATAGAAAACAATACTTCTTGATAGGCATGTTATCTGTCACAAAACAAAAACAAAGTATTAAGTATCTTGAAAAATGGAACATAGGGATAGACTGGTAAATTTCTGGTTAGCAAGGATTTATAGATTAAAATCAATAGTTTGCATTATTTGTAAGTTAGATGCTTGAAATGTGTTAATCTTTTTAATTTTGTGGGCTTTATTATTACATAAAAATAAAAATGTTTATAAGCCTTAAAGTTCATGTTCACAGGTGTGAGCTGTATAATTTCATAAGATCTTAATTCCTTAGTTATGAATTATTCTGTCACAAAGATTTCTTGAAAACTAACCCTAGCAGTTGGGAAGGACTTTTATATGGTCTACAATAGGTCTCCTGTTTTAAAATTTTAGTTGACTAGATATAAATTTTGTTTTTGAAAATGTTTTGACTGCCTAAGATAGTAGTACCTACCCTTTGGTTTAATAAAACCAGGACTGGGAATATCAAGTTCAATAAACTGTGTTTGAAAAAAATGTTAATATGTCAACATAGAATGACCACAGCTAAAGAAATTTCCCAGAAAAGAAAATGTACCTTCAGGAATGAGTCTGCTGGATAGGGGGAATGTATAATTCCCCAACTTCCTAAGACCTAAAGCCATTTCCACCAAGGAAAGGTGTGTGTTCAGGGAAGGGAGAGAAGCCAGGACTTGGGAACTACTGAGAGAAATGACAGCCGCAGGCCCCAAATTAAGTTTGTCACCTGTAAAGATCTATCATTTAATGGCAATTGCCCGTGTATAGCATTCAGTTACTATAAAGATCCATCATTTGATGGTAGTTGACTTTTTACTGACTTAGCCTTTGAGAAGTCGGTTACTATGTCTTTACTGAATGGTTATGGGGTACTCAATCGACAGGGATTCTGGAAAATAGGAGAAGAAACTCTAGAATTAAGAGAAAGCTTTAATGGAAATAGTGTATAAATATTTGTTTACGACACCCCAAATCTTTTAGTATGTGCGGTCCAGTTGAGTTATCTTTAGAAAGAATAAATCATTTTTCTGATTCCAAGTGTTACTACGCTTTTCTATTTTCTTCATTGTGACCGAGCATATATGTTAAAATCAAAGCAAATAAAAGTAAAAGCTGTTTGTTTGTTTGTTTGTTTGTTTTTGAGATGAAGTCTCGCTCTGTCACTCAGGCTGGAGTGCAGTAGTGTGATCTCGGCTCACTGCAAGCTCTGCCTCCCGGGTTCATGCCATTCTCCTGCCTCAGCCTCCCGAGTAGCTGGGACTACAGGCACCCACCACCACGCCTGGCTAGTTTTTTGTATTTTTAGTTGAAACAGAGTTTCACCGTGTTAGCCAGGATGGTGTCAATCTCCTGACCTCGTGATCCGCCTGCCTTGGCCTCCCAAAGTGCTGGGATTAAAGGCGTGAGCCACCACGCCTAGCCTTAAAAGCTATTTGATAATATGGAATTGTTGGTTACATGCTAAGAGACATCAATAACCATTTTTTTGTTTGTTTGTTCGTTTTGTGTGTTTTTTGGGGACCAAGTCACGCTCTGTTGCCCAGGCTGGAGTGCAATGGTACCATCTCAGCTCACTGCAACCTCCGCCTCCTGGGCTTAAGCAATTCTCCTACCTCAGCCTCCCTAGTAGCTGGGACTACAGGCACGCACCACCATGCTCAGCTATTTTTCGTATTTTAGTAGAGACAGGGTTTCACCATGTTGGCCAGGTTGGTCTCAACCTCCTGATCTCAAGCAGTCCACCCGCCTCAGCCTTCCAAAGTGCTGGGATTACAGGCGTGAGCCACCGCGCCTGGCCAATAACCAGGTTTTAACCTAATATTTGTAATCAGTGTTGTGTTGCTCATTACTCATCATCAGCCATTGGTGGTGGCTAGTCCTAACAGAGGGAAGACCATCCACAAAACCAAGGCCTTAGCAGTGGTTGTGTTTACATGATTTTACAGCTTCTCACTTTGTGCTTTTCGCTGTATCATCCTATCTTGGCATTACACCTCTTATCGTGCCAGGATTATTTACTGTTGCTTGTTCCTTAGTTGATTGAGTTCTTTGAATTGATTCTGTAGGTGCCTTTCATGGTAGCCTGGTTTTGGATCTTCAGTCTCTTCCACTGTTCCTATACTTAATGATGTTGACTCCTGAGTTTTTGTTCAATTGAAAACTTTCTGATTGGATATATTGGTTTATATTAAGTAAACATTTTGTCTATTCATACCAGTAGTATTCATTATATCAGGGAGAGTTATGAACATTTACTAGATTCATGTGAAATATTTTTCATAAGAGCAATTACATTTTGAATCACAAAAGTAACTAATTCGTATTTCAAGCTCCAAGGGCTTAAATTATAGAAAAAGTATGCCTTTTCATTTATTTTAATATCTAATTTAAAATTTCCTTTGCCAGGCATTCTCAGCTGGAATTTGGACTTGGGACTAACTCCCTAGAAGAATCATTTTTACTCATTGTATTTGTTTATTAGTTAATCTGAGACAATTGAATTTTACCTTTACATTTTATGCCTGGGAGCATAGAAACTTTTCAGAAAGACCAAAAGAAATTGGAGTTTAATGCTTTCCAGATGAAGAGAGGAAAATTCACATATCCTAGATATTTATTGTCTGAATTTATTACAGCTTTCACCAGAGGGAAGCATAACTATGCATAAAACTTACAGTGCTTACTGAGGCCATTTCAGTCTCCATTAAAATCAAATGTGACTATGAAATTTATAATCATGTAGCATGTGAGTTATATGAGACCTGGGGTTCTTTCTACCATTTCAGGAGAAAAGAGAGGTTGTGTAAGGTGGATATCGTATATAAGGGCCACTGGAATAAGACTATAAGATGCTATAGTACCTTACTTTTATTAGGATTTTTAAAAATTGGGATTTTACTATGCAATCTATGTATGTAACTAAATTACATTTGTACCCCATACATTTATACAAAAAAAGACCCCTCCAAATTGGGATTTTTGAAGTCATATTTTATTATTGGGTGTTATAAATAAAGATATGGTAAAAGTGGCCAAAATGAAGTTAGAGAGTTTTTATTTCTGAAAATGCAGAGTGGGAAATTTACAGTAAAGGACAGTTATGAACTTTACCAGAAATAGAAGATCCGCATAAAACTAAGTAGTGAATACTATCTTGAGTCTTTCCATTTAACTTATGATTATTACATAATTTTTACTTCAGTTGTATGTTTAAGGGGAGTGAACTAAATTTTCTCTTGGTTATATTTAAGGAAACTTGATTATTATATAGTATTAAAAGATGCCTGTGTGTAATGATATATTCAACATTTCATTGTAGTATTTTGATCTATCATTTGAAGTATTCCAATAATTTTTAAACATGAGCAAATAAGAAATGAGTTAAGTTGGATGCTTATGTATTTCTTGTAGTAGAAACATGATATGTAATTGAAAATATTCGAGCACTTAGTTTTCCTGGTTCCCTTTTTTAAAATTCTGACTCATCTGTGGCCTTCATCAAGGTTCATTACCTGAATTTTGTCATTGATTAATTAATATGGCTTTAATCATGAAAACTGAACTATGTCAATACATGTAACATTTGGATACTCTCTTAGGTCAATAAGTGGTATTGATAAACAAATACAAAATTATTCTAATGGGCTTTATAGTGAATTTTAACTATTTTAAATATACTTAAAGCTTAATTATCTCATTTTCCCCATATTTTTTCCAAATTCTAAACTCCTCTTTCAATCTCTTCTATCCTGGCAGGCTTTAATCCAGTGTGACCAGTTGAGGAAGGAGCTGGAGAGGCAGGCGGAGCGACTTGAAAAAGAACTTGCATCTCAGCAAGAGAAAAGGGCCATTGAGAAAGACATGATGAAAAAGGAAATAACGAAAGAAAGGGAGTCCATGGGATCAAAGGTACTTAAGGACTCTGCTGTTATCCACATTGCAGAAGAAAGGTTTTTTACGATGCCACTGATGATTCCATAGACTGGAGTTCTTGAATGAACCTTAAATTTTAAAATTGTTATTATGTAAGTAGTTAAATTTCTTATAATTTAGAGTTCATAAAAATGTTTTATCATTTCATATATTTCTCAATAGTTTGTGTTGATCTTTTCAGATAAAATAATCAGTTAAATTCCATAAAATGAAATTACAAAATTTACTGTAAATCCTGCCATTCTGTTGGATTCCCTCTGTCATGTTTCCCAGAGGCATGCTATGAAGATACCCAGATTTTATTTCAACCTTGGCTAAATCAAGGAGAGATGACTCCCCTGCTTTATCTCCTACCCCTAAATTAAACCTGGAGAAGATGAAAACGCTTGTAAGAAACTGAGTAACCAAGAAAAAGTGATTATGCACTCTGTATGAAATCAGTTCTGACAAATTACATGATGAATAATGAGGGTAACCAGATGAAGAGAGAAATTTAAGGCGAAAGGAACAGATAGCATGAAATGAGCAGTCTTTGAAAAAGAGTTCACAAACTAGAATACAGAGTTGAGTGGGACCTAGCTTTAAAATTGCTGACTAGACTCGAATTGAGCAAGTTGTGGTCCATCAAGTAACCAAAACAACTGCGTTACATGTTTGTTTTGAAAAGTGGACTCACAGCTTGTACTCTAAATTCTATGTTGTTATAAGATTCCAATGTATGATAATTAACTCATTCAATCAATATATACTGAGAATGTACTGTGTGCAAAGCAATGTGGAGGCCTAAAGATATGTATAGAGAAAAATCACAACTTCTGCCCTGTGAGTTTTAAGTCTTAATAAGAGTAAACTCAGGCATTTTCTGTAAATGTCCTTGTCTTCTTATCCATTTTTTAAAATTGTGTCTGTCAAAACCCTACTACCTACCTTCTCTGCCCTGGATTGGTGATCTCAGCTGGTAAAAATCGCACAGCCTTGCAGATGACACAGCTGTAGACTCCAGGTCTTCGGTGTCCATGGTTCTTTCAGTGCTTTCTAGCAGTCCTCTTATGCCTTCCTCTCTCTTCTTCATTCCACACTCAACAGATATTAACTGGAGGGGCTGGGAATGTTGTAGTCACAGGAACGATGCAGTTTCCTCATGAAGCTTACAAACTCGTAGGAGAAGTAGACATTACACAAATATTTTCATAAGTGAGTTTTTGATCATCATTGCAATAAAGCCATAAGGTTCAGTTTAGGATACCGTGGACATGTGTAACAGAAATCTGACCTCGTCTAGGCAGTCACGAAAGACTTTCCTGAGAAAGAGATGTTGAAAATGAGACCTGAAAGCATTGATGAGTGGTCAGGTAAAGAGGGGAAGAGGGTTTCAGGCCCAGGAAAATAACATACCCAAGACTCTGGACCTGGAAAGGATCGCACTTTCTAGGAATTTGGAGAAGGCCCTGATGGCTGGAGCATAGAGAGAGAGGAGCAGAGCAGTGGGAATGAGTTTGGAGACTTATGTTGGGATGGAATCATGAATGGCTTTAAAATCCATATGAAGGATTTCAGTTTTGTCGAAAAAGGGATGGAAAGCCATTGAATGGCTTTAAATTTGTCAGTGTCACGATGCCATTTATATTTGAGAAAAATCATTTTGTCAATGGATTGGAAGGAGAAGCAGAATCGATGCCTGGAGATCAGCTGGAGGTGATTCTCGTAGTCCAGGTCTGGAAGTGATTATTGCAGTCCAGGTCTGGAGGTGATTTTCGCAGTCGCGGTCTGGAGGTGATTTTCGCGGTCCCGGTCTGGACATCACTTGTCTTCTCAAATTCTCTATAATACCACTTTTCCTCTTATTCTCAGCAGAGAGCCTTACTTCCCTAACACAGAAAATTAAAGCCACTGGGTGATGACCACCTCAACTATTTATCTTCCCCATGCCTTAAAATAAATTTTCACCTGTATTCCAACCCAGTCTGAGTGGGAAAGGTCTCTTCCTAATCCTTTCCGCTTCCCATGGACGCCGTTTCCTTCACCCCCTCGAACTCATTCCATTTGTTCCCTCCACTTTTCTGAATCAATCTTTCCTTCACTACAGTCTCTTTCTTATCCTCAGGAAAATACTTTCAAATGTCTCTTACTGTTGAAAGAAACAATCTTCTAATCTGTGGTTCTTAATTTTTGCTACACAAGAAGTTCTAAAAATCTGATTGTCCAGACAGTACCCCAAGCCCATTACATCAAAATGTCTGAGAGTAGCATCCAGGTGTCAGTATGTTTGAAACCCACCCAGGTGATTCCAACATGCAGCCAAAGTTGGAAACCACTTCAGTAATTCCATCTCCCTCTTTGACTCTTTCTCTTAATAGTTGAGTTTCTTGAAAGATTTGTCCATACATGTTGTCTTTATTTTGTCACCTCTCACTTACTTCAACTTCCATGCCACAGCCAATGAAATTACCATTGCTATGTTCACTGAAGATCTGTTTGTGCTATATTTATTGATTTTTTTTCAGTTTTATTCTCCTTAAAAGATTCTCTTTCCTTTTATGATTTCTTTGAATTCAAATTCTTTTTTTTTTTTTTTTTTTGAGACGGAGTCTCGCTCTGCCGCCTGGGCTGGAGTGCAGTGGCTGGATCTCAGCTCACTGCAAGCTCCGCCCAAATTCTTGATTTGGGAGAATGATGATGTGTGCTTTTTACATTACTCTGAGTTTAAAGTGCCTTTGAGGCAATAAAGAAGACACATCCAGAAAGCAGCTTGATAGGAGGTTCTAGAGTTGAGCAGGGAGCTAAAGATTTAGGTGTCTTTAGCAGTACTGTGGCTTGAGTTCCATGTATATATAGCCTTAGGACCTAAAGCTTCAGGACTAAAGCTATTTGATTTCTAAATCCTTAACTGTACACTGAGCTCTCAAACCAGCTTTACTTTCCACCTTCCCTATCCCAGTGGACCCACTGTTTATCCAGTTATCCAGCACAGAAATCTTGTTACCCTTTTCTCCCCCATCTTTCTCAACCCACACATCTCATCATCACCAGGCTCTAAGACTTAAGCTCCTGAGCATTTACATTGCCCTGTCTCTCCGTCCTACTGCTACCCGTGTCTCATCCTTGGATGGTTCCTGTAGCCCCTGTGGTGTCCTTGCCTGCAGTCTCACCTCCTTCCTATCTGTTCTCCAAACCGCCGCTGGGACCATCTTTCTCAACATGTCAGGCTCTTGCTTTGAAATCCTTTCACGTCTCCCTGCAACCTTGGATAAAATTTAGAATCCTTTATCATAGCATGAAGACTCTACAATATTCTTCCTCTCTTTGGCTCTCAAGTCTTATGTTCCTTCATTTTTCTTCTTTGCACCCTCACCACACTGACCTACTTGTACTTCCCCAAGCATGCACATATGCCTATCTTCCATACTGTTTTTTTCAGTGCAGGATTTTGCGTATGCTTTGCCCCCTGCCTAGAGGAATCCTCCTCTGCCCTCTTTCACTGATTCTTCAGAGTTGTTTGTTTGTATTTGAGACAGGGTCTCACTCTATCACCCAGGCTGGAGCTCAGTGGGGTAATCACGGCTCACCTAGCCTCACCCTCTTGAGCTCAGGTAATCTTCCCACCTCAGCTTTCCAGGTAGCTGGGATTACATAGGCGTGCCACCATGCCTGGCTAATTTTTTGTGTTTTTTGTAGAGACAGGTTTTTGCAGTGTTTCCCAGGCTGATCTCGAAATCCTGGGCTCAAGCAATCCACCCTCCTTGGCCACTCAAAGTGCTGGGATTGCAGGCGTGAGCACTGCGCCTGCCCAAGAGTTTTTCTTGGTACCATCTCCTCTCAGCGCCTCCCATAACTGAATTGGGATGGTCTCCTGTGGGCTCCCATAACTCAATTCATTACAAATTCATGTTGAATAGTTTGCTTCCCCTAGTTCAGTGAGTCCCTTGCATGTAACATCCTCAATGCCTGGCACGTTCCTCTCATATAAAATGTGCTCAGTATATATTAGATGAATGAAGGAATGAATTACAAGGAAAAGAAAAAAGTCCCTATGCTATTGGGAAGTTATGACTAAAATGCTGAGAGTTCAGAGGATCAGAACTGATTGTCTGCCAGAGATCGTGGAAGGCTTTGTGGAAAAGATGGCATTTTAATTGAGCTTCCAAGAATAGATGGGATTTAGAAACACAGAGTATGGGGGAAGGAACGCCACCTGTAACCAATATGAATAAGACATGGAAAGGAGATGAAGTTACGGATTGAGTGTTGTGTAAAAGAGAATGGTATCAATAGCAAACACCAGCTATTGTTCACACCTAGGAAATTTGTATTTTTTGGTTGTTTGCTGGAAACCATTTGCCTTGCTGAGTAGTTCTACTGTGTAGAAGTACGTTGATGAGAATTCCTGATAAGAAAGGAAAAACGAAGGCTGAAGTGTGCCTGGCAGTGTTCCAGGTACCTTCATATGTAACAGAACCTCTCTCTTATGCTGACAGTTGTTTCATGAATAAAGGTGGTGACAGAAATGCAGCACAGTTTTTATTTATCATTTATTTTTAACTTTTAGATTCAAGGGAGTACATGTGCAGGTTTTTTACTTGGTTATATTGCATGTTGCTGAGGTTTGGTTTACAAATTATCTTGTCACCCCCTACATGAACAGAGTACCCAATAGTTAGTTTTTCAACCCCTGCCCCGCTCCCTGCCTCTCCTCTCCAGTCATGCCCAGTTTCTGTTGTTGCTATCTTTATATCCGTGAGTACCTAATGCTTAGCTCCCACTTGTAAGTGAGAACATGCAGTGTTTGATTTTCTGTTCCTGCGTTAATTCACTTCACACTATGGCCTCCAGTTTCATCCATGTTCCTGCCAAAGACCTGATTCCATTTTTTATGGCCGCGTAGTATTCAGTGGTGTATATGTACCACATTTTCTTTATCCAGTCCATTCTTGATGGGCACCTAGGTTGATTCCATGTCTTTGCTCTTGTGAATGGTG